CAGAGCCTGTGCTCTCCCTGGCTCTAGACAGTTTTGCTTACAGCTCTCTGCTGATGATGTGAAGCTCCATGTATCCTCCACTTCTTCTCTGCCTCCTGAACTCTCCTTGGTCCCTCCTGAGTATCATGAGTTTGCTGATGTCTTTAGTAAAGACAAGGCTACTGAACTTCCACCACACCACTCATTTGATCTCAAGATCAACCTTGAAGAAGGAGCTTCTCTGCCCATTGGCATGATCTACTCTCCGTCTCCACCAGAGCTTGGAGCTCTCTGCACCTTCATTGACAAGCACCTTGGCTACAGTTTCATCAAGCAGTCCACCTCTGCTCACAGTGCCCCTGTCCTCTTCATAAAGAAGGTGGATGGTTCACTCTGCCTCTGCATGGACTATCGAGGACTCAATAAAATCACAAAAAAAGATCACTATCCACTGCCACTCATCTCTGACCTACTCAACTCCCCAAGCCATGCTAAAGTCTACACCAAGATTGACCTCTGCCATGCCTATCATCTAGTCCACATTGCAGATGGAGATGAATGGAAAATGGCTTTCTGCACTTGTTATGGTTCTTACAAGTGGCAGGTAATGCCATTTGGTCTGATTAATGTGCCTGCAGCTTTCCAGCAATTCATTAATAGCATCTTTGCAGACATGCTCAATGTCTGCATCATGGTATACCTTGATGACATCCTAATTTATTTGCAGGATGTGGAGTTGCACTGCAAACATGTAAAAGAGGTACTCCACCACCTTCGAAAGCATTGTCTTTATGCCAAGCTGGAGAAGTGCAAGTTTCACTCTGACTCTGTTGAGTACCTCAGTTATGTTCTCTCTCCCTCCAGTCTCACCATGTCTGCTGAGAAGGTTCAGGCAGTCTGCGACTGGCCTGAGCCACAGAAGGTGTGAGACATCCAGTCTTTCCTTGGCTTTGCAAACTTCTACAGATGATTCATTAATAACTACTCCAACATTGTCATTCTGCTCACTTGCCTCACATGAAAGGGTGCTCCTTGGAACTTTTCCAAGGAGTGTCACTCTGCCTTCAGCTCTGCTCCTGTCCTCACACACTGGGTTCCTGATGCTCTGCTTACAGTTGAAACCGACACCTCTGACTATGCCATTGCTGGCATTTTGTTGATCACCTGCTCTGATGGTGAACTCCACCCAGTCACTTTCTACTCCTACACCATGACTGTGCCAGAACTCAACTATGATACCCACAACAAGGAGCTGTTGGCTATCTTCAAGGCCTTCTGCCATTGGCAGCATTACCTAGAAGGTTCCGCCTTACCTGTTGACATGGTGATGGACCACAAAAGCCTTGAGTATTTCTCCACCTCTAAGGTCCTCACTCGTCAACAGGCCTGCTGGTCAGAGTACCTTTCACAGTTTAACCTTTCCATCTGCTTCTGACCTGGCTGCCTGGGAGCCAAACCTGACACACTTACACAATGATGGGACATCTACCCAAAAGGGGGGGATAGGGACTATGTGCAGGTAAATCCTCACAATCTCTGCCCTATGTTTACACAGGAGCAACTCACATCATCCCTCTGTACCACTACCCTCATGGCACCTGTGCTCTGTGCTGCTATGGTCTTCAATGTTGAGTGCTTGCATTCCAACATCATCTCCACCCTACCATCTGACCCTGTCTCTGCCAGCCATCTTCCAACTCCAACTAAGCCTTGGTGGTCCCTAGACTCTGATGGTCTACTCTGCCTTGATGGTCACATCTTTGTCCCTGACATTGATGACCTCCACCTTTGAGTGCTTCGGTTCAAGCATGACCATCCTCTAGCAGGCCATTTCAGGCAAAACTGCACCCTAGAACTCATCCACAGGGACTACATGTGGCCCAACCTCTGCTCTGACATGAAAGAATATGTCAGGTCCTGCACTGCCTGTGGATGGAGCAAAACTCCACATCACCACCCTTATGGTCTACTGAAGCAACTCCCCATCCCAGAGAGACCTTGGAACTCCATCTCCATGGACTTCACCAAACACCTCCCCAACTCTGATGGCTACTCTGCCATACTCATGGTAGTGGACCACCTCTCAAAGAAAGCAGTGTTCATCCCCACCCATAACTCCATCACCTCTGCCGAACTTGCTAAGCTCTTCCTTACCCATGTCTTCTCCAAGCACAGAGTGCCAGCAAATGTCACCTCTGACAGAGGTCCCAAGTTCATCTCACACTTCTTCCACTCTCTAGGAAAGGCCCTTGATATGCATCTTCACTTCACTTCAGGTTACCACCCAGAAGGCAATGGCCAGACCAAGTGAACAAACCAGACCCTCAAGCAGTACCTTTGTGCCCACTGCGACTACCAACAAGACAACTGGGCTGAGCTGTTACCTCTAGTGGAGTTCGCTTTCAACAATGCACCAAGTGCAACAACTGGAGTTTCTCCCTTCTTCACTAACAAAGGATACCACCCAAACCTGTCTGTGGTTCCTGACCAAGACTTCACCTCTCCAAGGGCTCATGACTATGTCATTGAGCTCTCCACCCTTCATGACTTCCTCCACTCCAAAATGTCTGCTGCTCAGCAGCACTACCAGGGTCCAGCAGATGCCAGATGCATACCTCCGCCTGAGTTTAAGGTTGGAGAACAAGCTTACATCAAAGCCAAGTACTTCTGCTCCACTTGTCCTTCAGAAAAACTCTCTGAAAAGTACTTAGGTCCATTCAACATCTTGGCCAGGCCAGGCACACACTCTGTCACCCTTAAGCTCCCTGATTCTATGCACTCAGTACATCCAGTCTTCCATGTCTCACAACTAGAAGCCACAGTGGCTAACTGTTTCCCAAATTGACAACAACCTCCACCTCTGCCAGTGGATGTTGATGGTGACCTTGAGTATGAAGTATTGGAGATACTCAACTCTAAGGTGGACCGCCATCACTGCCACTGTCAACTCTTGTACCTAGTCTGCTGGGCTGGTTATGAGAACACCAACAAAGAAACCTCTTGGTTGCTTGCAACTGAGCTAGGTCATGCTTCCAACATAGTCTCTGCTTTCCATGAATGATATCCATACAAACCTGGCCCATATCAACCTCCACCATAGTACTCTGCCCATACAACCTTCCTCTGCAGACCAACTCTGCCCCTTACTGAACTACCTTAAGTACTTTAGAGTTTTCTCTGCTTGTCCATTTCACTTCTCAGAATCACAAACAAGGTCACAAGTCTATTTAGTAGTAGTACAAAATATACAAAAAAAATCTACTCTACTCTTCCATTGCTTGCTCTCCACCACCCTCCTGTCCTTCTCTGCCTTCTGGCTCCCTTCTGACTTCTTCCTCTTTCTCGTTATCCCCCTCTGCACCCTCATCCACTTCCTCATCCCTGTCCTCTGGCACCTCCGACTGAGGCCCCTTCCATCCTCCTGCACACTTGAACTCAGCCATCTTGGCCTCATGTGCATCCTCCCTCCTCCTCATCTCTGCCCATTCCACCCACTTGTGGTACAGCCCCCACTTGTTGGCTGTCTGCTCCACAGCCTCCACCATCCACTCTGCTGCTCTTGCCATCCTCTCGAAGGCTGTTGCAGCCTTCTCATGCACCTCTGCTGTGGGACACTACCTCTGGGTAGCATGCAATTAGGGGGGGGGAAGCTGCAGGGTAATCCCTAGGCTCAACCCAAGGGGTGCTGAGTAGGAAGGAGATGTAGAATACAATAGTAGAGTCAATTGAGGAGTTGAATGTGGGGCATGGAATATAATTCCACAGAGATGTAGGTGAATTGGGTATGAGTAGACTTGTTTGTGGAATTCCAAGTGACAACCTTGGCATGAAGAAGTATTTCCAAGACTTGTGAGACACAGAGGCGAGACACAGAAATGCAGAAGGCACAGTAGATGCAGAGTACACAGCAGACACTTTGAACACCTAGACATGTGAATGGCTTGGATAGTGACTCCAAAAGATGGGTGGTCTATTTCCAACATCCTGGTGGAATTATATAGTACAAGGGAAGTAGGTATGAGTTGGAGTAAGGTGGGGTGGAAAAACTAAAAGACCAGAAAATAAAGGAATGGATGTCAGATGTCAGTGAAATACAGATGCATGTGAAATAGTCCAGTGGGTAGTAGATGAGAGTAAGAACAGGACAATGGTAAGGGGTATCTTCTGACAGAACAAGAGTATGCATACCAGTGGGAGGTGGAGCTGAGCAGCACAGGAGGGCAAAGCATAGCATACTGACATGAAGTCCAGCTTGTGGAATTTAGGGCAACAGGGGAAACCAGAGTTTTTTTTTTTTAGAGGTAAGTGGCATGGATGACTGGTGATGTGGCTGAGCAGTGGCACAGCTGTTGAATTCTGGGTGACTCTGTGCAAATGCAGAATTTCTGGACCAGCATTTTGATGACTGAGTGACATGCTGAAGGTCAGTAGAAACTCTGAAGGTGACAGGGGTTGGGAGGAAACACAAGGACATGAGCAGGAAAAATTCTGAAATGGGTTTGTCATAGAGGCCTGCAAAATTTAGTGACAGATTCCTGTTCCAGCCTCAGGGAGTATACAGCTCCCTACACCTCCTGGGAACTTCGAATGCTGACCATCCTTGGTCAGACCAAACTGAGACATGACAGAGACAAGCACAGAATATTGGCAGATGTTATGTAACAATGATGGTGCATGGTCGGAATTCTGCCTCATGCAGAGGGAAATTCTGCAGTGTACAAGATGGCCCTGCAGAATTTAAATGTGCTTGGAAGGTGTCTCACCGCTTGTCAAACATCCATGCCCCAGCTACACCCACATCCACTACCCAATCCATACCCAACCTTTGCCATGCAAGCCTACTCAATCCACAACATGCAACCAGTTTGCAGCATGAGGGACCAGGCCATCACCTCGCTGGCAGCAGCATTAAGGCACGTTAGGGTGCTAATTGACAGCACCACAGCCCAAAGAGAGCTTAGAGGCGATATACAAGTGGGTGGAGGACTGGGACTAGACCTGGGTGAGTGTGCTAGAGACCCATGCAACACAATGTGCTAACTGATCCCCAGGCTGGGATCTACTTGTGGTGGAAGTACATTGATGAGAACAAGATTTCTATCCTGAAGGTGCATGATGCCAACCTATGCAACATGACCAAGGAATTTGCAATACAGCAGAATGAGGCAATCCCTGGGGCGATAGCAATAGTGGATCTCTGGTGGCCAGAAGGGTAGCATAGGTTCAACATCAATGACCTTCTCAAGGACTACCACGAGCAGGTAGAGGAGAGAGCGCAGATGGAGGCTGAGAGGTTGGCCAAGGCACCATCCATGCACACCTGGGGCCAAGTAGCAAGAGGTGAGGGCCAAGACCATGCACCAGAAGACACCAAAGGAAACCTGTCAAGAGGAGCTGCACACTCAACAGGGGAGGGCTCTGGTAGTGTGAGCAAGGGAAAAGGGAAGCAGAAGGTGCACCCTATGACCTTGACAACTCCAAGCACACATGCTGACTTCAATGAAAATTCTGCAGGCCACCAGCAAGGAGGATGAGCTGGCTGATGACATCAATGATGACAAGGGTGATGGCAAACCAGGTCCACCCACAAAGGGACCTCATGCAGCTGGGGACAATGAGCCCTGCAAGACATGTGCCCAGGCAAACCTCATGTGTGTCGGGGAGCCAGAGGCATCCTGCAAACAGTGCAGGAAGGCAAAATGCAAGTGCTCATGCTCTCAAGGTGTAGGGAGAAAGGTGAGTACTGCACAGGTGAAATTCTACAAGGGAACAAGTTGATGCCACCTTCAGCGAAAGAACTCCAGTACCATTGGGGAGGCAGGGCCATCCCACAAACGAGTCAAATTGTTTATGACCTTGAAGCTGGCCCCATCAGAACCCATGACCAAACCTGTCAAGAAGCTTACTCTGAAAATTCTGGCTCGAAAATGGCAGCCTGATCTGACCCCCACATGCTCGCCTTCACCAGATCCAGCTCCTTCACTTTGTGATCCTTCGCCAACACCCCATCTCTTTTTCCACAGAGCCACTCCAACACCCAGACCTGCACCCAAGCCCTCACCAGTCCTGGTTGATGATCCTCATGCATCACTTCCAATCGATGAACTGCAAGTTGAGATCAAACCATTCATTGCGACTGCAACCAGTTTACTGGACAAACCTGGAGATGTTGAAGTGATGGCCCAGAGCGACACTCCATCAGCCATGGAAATTCCGGAGGTTGAATACCCACACAAGCAGTCAACAGCAAACATTGTTGAGCATCTGCAAGTGCTCGAGGCAAGGGCCAAGGATGAGGAATTCAAGCTGGAGCAGGTCTACCAGCTGCTGGAGATGTTGGCAAGGCAGGTAACACATTGGATCGAGACTGCATGGGCTAGATGGGAGGAGCTGCAAAGGTTGAAGGATGATCTCCAGAACCTGTAAATAGTGTACTAGAGTCTGCAGAATTTTTTTTTTTTTTTGTTTGTAGTCATATGCTCCTAATTTGTAAGAGGTTTTCATGTGTTGGTATTAGTACTACAGTAAGGGAAGGAAAAGTAAGACTTCTGAAGGAAGAAGTGTTGCAGAATTTATTTTTTGACTCTTTTTTTTTTTGACTCTTTCACATGAGCAGTGCAGAATTTATACAAGAGAAGAAGCAGGTATTGATAAAAGAAAGAACAGGGGAAGAAAAGAAAGGAGGTAGAGAGAAGGACAGGCTACTCATCTGACTCATCCAAAGGGACACCAGCAAGTGAGGGTCTGGGAATGCATCATCTTCAAGATGATCCAGGTCTTGTGAGGAAGCACCAGTCAGCTGGGTGACTTCAATACAAGTGTTATTCCATGGGAAATAGGAGTATAGGTGAAATGCAGTGAAGCAGAATTTCGAGATAGTGCCATCTAATTCTGCAAGTATGTATGAGCCACCTTTAGTGCATCTGATGATGATCATAGGCCCTAGGTAGCACAGTTTGGTTTTCCAGTCAAGTTCCAGTTTGATATGGGAATTCCACATGAGGACAAGCAACCCTGGTTCAAAGTTAAAGTCTTTGATAGAACATGCAAAACAGTTGATGAAATCCTTGGCTGAGGCAAAGTGGGATTTTAGGACCAGATCGTGGATGCAAGCAAGGTCCTCCAGGCATTTCTGGAGTTGGCAAGCATGGTGAGCAATGAGGTCTGTGGTCGAGTAAAATCCCACCTTGAAAGGGGCTAAAAATGTCACTTCAACCAGATCAAAAGGGAGTCTGGGTTCAACACTGTGAGCCATATAGAATGGAGAAAACCCAGTTGCCTTGTGGACCGTAACCCTCTCTGCCCAAAATACTGCAGGGGCTACTTCTGACCACCTCAATGCTTCCCCACTACAACTTTTTACCATCACCTCTCTTACATCAAAATGTTGCTGTTTGACAACTCCATTAGCCTGCAAGTTATAAGGAGAAATGTGTACATGATGAATACTGAAGGTCCCAGAGAGCCAGTTGAGAGCGAGAACATATGGTTCCCCATTATCTGTGACAATCTCTGCAATGGCACCCCAATGGCACAGGATCTGCTTGAAGATGAATTTTCTGATGGTCTTGCTGGTTTCTGTGTGAAGCATAGCCCACTCTGGATAACTAGTGAGTGAACAGCAAGCTTGGGTGATGTAGCAAAATCCATTCAACTTCAGCATTAAGAATGTGTCCATATATGCTTTAAAGAATAGGGGCTCAGGGATGGCGATGACTGGCAGAATATGTATGCAATCCAAATGGTGTATTTGGCACTCATGACATGACTTAACATACCAGCAGACATCCTGCTCTAGCATAGGCCACCAGAAATGAGTCAGCAAATGCATGTGGGTCAAGTAGATACCCTTGTGTCCTAGCTTGTCATGAGCCTGACAAAGGATCCCAAGCCATTTGTGAGGGGCAACTACTAGTTGGTGACACCCTTGAGGGTCTTTTCTCCACAGCTCTCCTCCTTTGATGAAGTACTGAGTGGCAAGACACACCAGGCTTTCTGACTCCCCTTCCTCCAATCCCTCTGGCATCTTCTTTGTCTCCAAAAATTCCTTCACCACTTTCAATCTCTCCTCTCTCTGGATCGCTTTCTCCAAGCATGGAATACCCATCTTGTAGACACTTAGTGAGGTTTGTTCAGAGGAATAGATGCCTAGACTCAGTGACAAGACCGAAGGTGAGTCTGACAAGGTACTTGGAATTTCCAAAGGGAAAGGCTGGGACTCGAATCAGGCCTCCCTACAGTTCAAGAGCTTGACAGCGAAGGCTCCATACTCATCTATCCAGTCCTCAAGTCCTCTTCCCCATCCTCATCTTCTTCTGCTTTCAGTCTCCTTGAAAGACCATCCAGTGCTGCATGCTTGTGTGCAGGGACATGTATGAGCTCAAAGTCAAATAAAAGAATTCCTGCAATCCAGCAGTTGATGGTGGCATTGGGCTGTAAGTCGGGATTGTTAATCATCCCCTTTATATATCATGCATCAACCTTGACAACTAAATTCTGCATGCCAAAAATGTGAAGTCTGATGTTGTGTAAAGTGCAGAAAAGACCAAAGAGCTCCAGTTTAGCTTGACTGTAATGGCATTCATGGTCATTGAGAGTTATTGAGCTAAACCTTGCAGGGTAGTGTTTTTCATCTTCCCCCTCTTGCATGAGGAGGTATCCTACAGCAATATTCAAAGTGTTGACCACTAGAATGACCTTCCTTTTGGAACTGTAGTCGATAGTATGTAGCACAGGAGACAAGACAATAGCCTGGCATAGATATTCCATGGCTTCTCTGTGTCTGTTGCAGAATTTGAAGGGGACATCTTTCTTGGTCAGCTTGACAAGGGGACGTGCATGTTTAGCAAAGTTTTTGATAAAGATCCTGCAATACAAGCAAAGACCTAAAAATCCACACACTTCAGTAACATTTGTGCAGTAGGGCCAGTCTTTAATCTTTTGGACTTTAGCCTCATCCAGAATTCTCCCCTCAAACAACACCTTATGTCCAACCACTATGATAGACGGTGCAGCGATGACGCATTTCTTTGCTGAGATGGTAGCTCCTGCATGATGTGGATGGTGTAAGACATGGTTGATGTTCTGTAGGTGCTCCCAGATGAAGCATCTGATCCCAGCATTTTGTGGGATTGTCTGGTAGGAACCATTGGAATTTTGGTAACAGGATTTTGGACTTTTGATTGGGCAATCATCGATGAACAGGATGGTTATTTTGGGGATCTTGTCCTTCAATATCCAACAGACATCTCTGTGGAAAATCTGGACAGCATTCATGTAGCCCATAGGTAACTTAGTGAGTCATAGAGTACTGATAGGAGTTTGGAAGGTAGTGAGGTCGTGATAATCATCATGTATGGTGTGATGATCATATCCAACCATAAGATCCAAAATTCCATAGACAGAATGGCAAGCAAAGGCTTCAGTGATCAAATTGACGAAGGGGGGAATGGCTGAGTCCTGGATAGAAACAGTGTTTAGAGGTTGTAAGTCATGGACAAGGCACAGAGATTTCCCATCCTTCTTGACTATGCAGAACCATGTTGAGCAATAGGACAAGGTAGACAGTTCATAAACTCCTGCAGAAATCTTTTCCTTGATGATGTTAACAACTTCACAGAAAATAGCAGGGGGAATGGGAATATTTCGCTTGACCCAGGGTTTGTGGGCTAGCATAGGTATCTTCAAGGGTGGGAACATGTCCTCTTGAAAGGTCCCTCTTTCTGAAGCATCCCAAGTGAAGGCAACCTCATGTGTCTTGACCAGCCATCATACTAGGTCTAATTCTGTAGGCCAAAGGAACCTTGCCAGGTCCAGATCAAGCTCATCAGCTCTTTCCTGAGTAAACCTGGAACCTGGCACGAACAGTGGGGGATGAGTAGGTAAAACAGGCAGATCCACAAGTGGGTCTTTGGCCTCCCAATGCTCTACCTGGAATTCTGCTGGCATCAACATTGGTACTGGCCTCACCTTCCTTGCTACAGGTTTGTACTTTAAGACATGATAAACAGGATCAAGCTGATAAGTAGAGCATAAGGCAGAGATTGTCAGTGGAGAAACAGTAGTAGCAGTCGAAAATAAGAAAGGGTCAGTTGGAGAGACAGAACTAGCATCAAAGGGATCGACAGGGAGTGTACTGTTGCTTTGTAAATCATAGATAAATGCCACAGCAGAAATTTTGAAAGTGTCTGTAGGCAAATGGGTAGTAGTCTTCGAAGGTAATAAAGGAGGGTCAGAAACATAGAGAGAACACACAGAGAAAAGATTATTGTGGCCTCCTTGCAATCCAGACAAGTCATCGACCAACACTAAAAATGCTGCTCAGGCTGTTTCATATGGTGACACATTTGTTTTCATGTGAAGAAGTCTTCTTCATCTTCAGAATTTACGAAACATGGAAGGGGATGCAGTCTGTTGTGAGGTCATGTCAGGATTAAAACTTGTTTCCTGGAATTAGGGTCGCAGATTTCTAGAGACTGTTCTCCATCAGGGAAATCATGGAGGATGCTGGAGAGTAGGCAGAAGAAGGGTTGACCGAGCAGTAAGCTGAAAGGCACATGGTTGATGACTTGGATTTGTAGAAGGGCCTCAATGTTTCCTATGCACAAGGTGGCATTCTCTATGACCCCAAGGGTGCTTTCTTTGGATTGGTTAGCAGCCTCCAAAGTCATAGTCATGTCAGTACAGAGGGGGGCCCCTAAGGCTTCCCACAACTCCCATTGCAAGGCCACTACCTGACATCCACTGTCCAGGATACATTCAACATGAAGTTTGTCCATTAGGATGCCATCAACAGTGCATAATGGTGCAGTAGCGAGGCCCACACACTTCCCTTCTGTGTCTCTGACCCAATACTGTTTGTAGGATGCCCAGGTAGCAGAGGCAGAAGCGTCCAATGCCATTTCTAAGCTCCCAATGGTTATCTTCTTCATCATGGCTAGCTCTCTAACCTGCTTGTGAATCTCTGGGCTGATGGCTAAGAGATCTTTAGTGGAAATTTCTATCTTTGCATCTAAGACTTGGTCTATGAGTCATTTGGTAGCTGCTGCTTCATTGAAACCACTTTGATCACAAAATTGGGGTGCAGAATTTGTCATAGGCTTGGATTTCCAGAGATCTGTGGGACTAGAGATGACTGGAGTTTTAGTAATGGCTGGGATCTCTGTAGAAGGGATGGAATTGGTTGGTGTGGAATTAATGACTGTCCTGGGGGCAGTTGACACACTAGCAGGTGCTGGACTTGTCACAGGGTTTCATGGATGGTGGGCCAGAATATCTACACTGTTGAAACAAGCGACCTTCTTCTTCTTGATATTATTTTTCAATTCTTCTACTTGTGCATAAGCTCTCGCCAGGGCACACTGGTCTTCTTCATTGGCATTACTCTCTAGTTCTTCGTCAATTAGGTAGGAGGAGGGATGTAAGTC